AGTGTTTATGGAATATTATTACAAAAGAAAGTTCTGAGTATATACTGCAGGTTCACTGCGTATCTTCAGTGAGTGTGTGGTGTTGCTGTGGCTTCTAATCAGAGGCATTGTGCTGATTTGAGATCCTTTCTGGTGAAACTGAGGCTCAGAGAAGTTGAGAGTCCCATTCTGAACTTGGCAATGGGCAGCCTTCCAACTGATGAATGTCATCTGGTTTTGGGCAGAATTATTCCAAGTGACTTGCAGAAGGGCAGTCCTCAACACATCGTAAAGTGAAGAAACCAGGTCTTCTGACTTCTGGAACGATAGATGATGGTGCCACTCTGTTGGGATCAGTTTGGGGCCAAATCTTGCCTTTTTCATCAGTGCAAATAGTGTACTCTCTAATTTGAGCGATTGTCTCTCAAATTTGAGTAAGACCAATGCCATGAATAAGAAGAGGCTTTAGCTTGGAATAGTGTATCTGATGGAAGACTTACTGTGGGGGAAGTATTGGTATGACTCATGGGTATGGCTCATGTTAAGTATGGTGGAAGAACACGGTCCTCAGTGGGGACCTAACAGAGAAAGAATTAGGTGGAAGAATTAATTTGTTTCTGTGGTTTGTAGCACCTATACATACACACGTAAGTCGCTTCTTACTTCTGCTGACATTTCGTACAGTTTTAGGGCAAACATCTTTGCTGCATGCTGGAGCTAGCTTTTGATTCTGGAGATTATAATACTGAAAGCAATAGGAACAGAAGAATGCTTTTGTTTCCAGCATGTGATAACTTTGTTGCTAAAATACATCTCTGAGATGTGCTTGGTAATTATCTTGGCTTCAGAGCAGCTGTCATACTGAACACTTATTTCTAAAACCTGCTTTGGTTAATCACTGCTGGTGATTGTAATCCCTCCCTTCTAAAAACCATTCTTAAACTCTTCCTCTTTCTCATAATGAGGAGCAAAACCTTTAAGGAAAAATGTGCATTGTATCAACATCTTGTCTACACCACCATACCTGAATAATACAGGTGATACTGGGCTATTTCAGGTGTTCAGGGAATGCCAAATTCCCCGGTCAATCTTAGATAAAATTTAATTATGTATTGTCTGCCGTGACAGCCTTTCCAACTCTGTTTTCCCTAATGAGGAAGACATGGCAGTGCATTTCTTTCTGACTTTACAAATAGGTCTTTAAAGAGGAGCCATTCCTGCAGGTCTTTCTTTGTCTAGACTGCAATGTTGGGTCCTTAGCATCTACTGCTCACTTTGTATTATGCACTACCAACTACCAACTGTTACAAAGATGTTTTGGAGCATGACAGCTCAAGTTTTGGGAATGAGGAAAGAGGGAGACAGCACCTACAGGAATCACTAAACTGTAACGGAGGAGTTTGGAACATATTTTGAAATTCATGTAGCAAGTGTATGTAGAACAGGAAAAGAGCAGCAAAATTAACGTATTAGAAACTATCTAATCATATTTGGACACAAGCTCACTCTGTTAATTTTCTCCATCATATACTTCATTTTACTTGTGTTTTCCCAATGGCTTGTTCCAGTTGCTGCTGAAGGTTTTGTGGTCCCCCTCAATAGAAGTCACATCAGGCTTCTGAAGTTGGCATGAGCAAAGCTCAGCTGAGATGACGGTCTCAGCTCAATTAGTGGAGCCAAGCAGAGGCATGTGTTTTGCAGGGAGAGAAGCTTCTGCAAGGGTCTCCCATTGTGCTTTCAGGAGACACACATCTTAAGCCTTGAAGTGGTCTGCTCAAGAAACATTCAGATTTACATTCTCTTTGGCAAGCAAGTATGAGATCTTGTGAGGCAGTAAATCATAATATTTATTTTACAGATTTACATTTCAAATTTTGTTTAAGAAACACTGCTAGGTTTTGGGATGTTTTTCAGGGGAGAGGACGTGTTAGTCCTAATGATCTTGATTTATAAATAACATCAAGGGTCAGTAAATTACAGGTGAAATTAAGGATTTTGGCCTTAACATTACAGCTAAAAAGCCCACTGGACTGTAGTTAGGGGCCATGGACAGAGGATGTTGCTCTGGCAGATGTACTGCACAGCCTTCAACAAGTCACTGATCTGTGCACAGCCAGTTCTTCCACCTGTGAACGAGAGATAATATTAGAAGGAGGTCTTCCATCAAGTGTGACTTTGAGAGCCTAAAAAAAAAAGAAGGTTTCTATTAGTGCAAAGCGTTCTGTTTTCTTATTAATTGACTAGTGATTGGCAACATTTCCAGAATTCCAGTTGCAAGGAGACGTCAGCTGAATCCAATTTTCAGGAAGTATGGAATGATATGTCCTCTAACATCTTTCTCCCATTCTGCCCTGGAGCATGTCACTGGTGAAAAAAATATGGCCACAGTTGTTTTAAGTGGGGGAATGAGACCCTGTGAACCCAGATTTACCCTGGCATGGCTTTGAAGCCATGAAGAGTAAGGAAGCTGCAGAATGAGGCAGGCAGGCCTCCTTGGTTTTGTGTCTGAGACAAGTGCATAAAGCTACCTTACTGAACTTCCAGCCCACCTCCGTAACTCTTGCACTGTGTCTGTACTCCAGTTATTCAGAATTGTGAACAAAAATGACATGGTCATCTATTCAGAGATGGTGATGCAGCGCAGAACCCGATAACCCTTGTTTTCCATTTCAGGACTTTCCTTTTCCTTTATATGATCTTCATGCACTTGCTGCTGCTGGCTGCCATAGGGGCTGTGACCTGCAATTACAAATCCCAGGCTGACAGTCACAACAGAGGAGCTTGGCCTGGGGGGTGTGGGGGGGTGTGCACTGATTTCTTCTCCCCACTCTTCTCCTGATGTCCAGCTGCACTGACTAGGTGGAAATATTTTATCATGTGAATATGATCTGCAAAACAGGATCAACAGTTCTGGTTGAGGGAAAAGCTGCTTATTTGTTCCTAGTCTGAATGTGAGGGTGGGAGGGGGCTGGTAATATTAATTTTTCGCAGCATCACTAAAAGATCTTTGAAGATTGAATAGCTGATGCTTTTCCTAGCAAGCGAAAAATATGCACACATCACTACTGCCTTGAGAAAACTGTTTCAGGATTCGCAGTAGGTGGGGAGATGGTGGATATTTCACCTGCCAGGGACTTGTGGTATAGATTAGAGATTTAATCTGGGGTGGGGAAAAAAAGAAACGACATACTTCTATAATAAACATTATTGGTATACGACAGATATGTTACTTCCTATTTTCACATCACAGGTGATGCAAGTAGTAAGATAGCTTTTTTTTGTTTTTTCATTATGCTGCTAGAAACAACCTAAAAAAATGTTTCTTTGCTTGGGAGAATGAAAGCAGGCTGGGTTGCCATTCTTTATTGTATTGAGGTTTTCATGACAAATAATCTGGTATCTTTGTGTACAGTGACAAACAAGAGCCTGAGACTTCTGGAAGTATTTTAACTTTAAAAGGCTTCTTCCTGTAAAACAGTATGAGTACTCTTTAAAGCTTCCCATTTCTTCCCTGGTGGGGGAATAATAAATAAATTATATTTATTTATAATAATAATAAATAGAGATGTTATAAATATTTATAACAGTAAAGAAAGGGCAGGTGCCTGTGAGCCCTGACACTTGCTTGCACACCCTTGGGCTACAGAAATAGCGATTGCAGCCCATCCTGAGAGCCCACTGAAGAGTCACAAAACCCGCACCAGGGTAGATGTGGCTGCAGGGGTGGCCAAAAAGTGGAAGACCCGGAGCTGATCTGGTTACATGTCAAAAAGCTTCTCCAAGCTATGTTAGCCTTGACAATTCATTAGGAATGAATGAAATTGAGTTATGGGTCATATTTTGCAAATGCTGTCAGTCCTGATTATGCAGTTGTCTGGATTTCCTTTGCTCAGGGAGAACTGCTGTAGCAGAGCTTATCTACTATGCAGTAGATGTAAGCTATCCTTCTCTAGCATATCAGAATCTATTTACTTTGCATTGATTCAGTTCCTTAGAAATTAATCTTTGATTCTTTGCAAAATAGAAGGATCCCTTGAGTTCAGTTTAAGCAACTTGATTTGATTATTGTTATGTCCCCAATATTGATTCTTAAGTGATTTTAATAAGAGATGCCGAACCTGCCATATTTCACATCACATTTGAGGGGAAGTTTAAACTATTGACAGTTTTAAATATTTTTGGACTCGTGCTCTTTGATCTCAGCTTAGCCAACATTTAGTTGTAGTTTGACTGCTTATTACCCAGGTGCATTTTTTGCAATACTGTTTCCTTAACCATGTTGAATTATGTGCCTATTGGCAGTATCCAGGTATTTCTTTCCAGAGAAACCAGGTTTATATTGATTGTCATGAGAAGAATTATTCTGCATATCAATTGCAAAGATTTTCTTTGAGCTGGGTAGAGCTGGAGGTACTGGGGGGATTTCTGTTGGCTCTACATTTAGTATAAACCTAATTACCACTTGTAGGACAGAACTTCAGTAATTACAATTTCATCAGCAGATAAAGGCTACAAATAATCTGCATGGACTGTCTTGATTATCACTGCAGTTCTTAGAAATGAAGCAGCAGCTGGTACCCATTTCAAAGCACTTCTTGTACTGGGCGTCTCTGCAACCCTTTATGCATTTCAGTGGTAGGACACAGTTTTTCTTTACAGTAAGCGAAATACCCTAATGAAGTTGTAAGTTAGGAATGTGAAGGAACTCATGGTTTTCAGTCCACTGTAGCAATTGATAAAGGAAGGGTGATCTTTGCAAAATGTATCAGAAAATCTTCACCAAACCCCATTGACTAGATCTAGACATGGTGGTCAGGCACAGTGGATTTAACTCCTGGTTGGGAAATTAATTCAATATCTGCTAAGTGGCAGGAAAGCACAGCCCTTCTGTAGCACCTGAAATTCGTCTGATCCTGTGTGAGCACTGGCAAAGCTCAAATCTGCCTCATTTATATGATCTGCTGCATCACAGCCCAGGATGCTTTCAGTCTGAACACAGGACCTGATGACGTAATTCTGCAATGGCCAGTGACTTCATGTTCCTGCAGCAGGAAGAAGAAAAACTCTCTCCTTTTGTAAAGGAGACTGCTTTAGCACAGGTAATAAAACTGTTCAACTGCTCTGGGAGGCTGGGGCAGGAGTGAATTGCTCATTCCTAACAGATTGGTTGATAACCTCTGTTCAAGTCTGACATTTCATAAGCCACCTTGTGCTTCAGTTGTTTTAAAGCAATTTCCCCTGTCCTGCTTTGCTCTTTAATTATGGTATCACCTCTAGAGTATTTCTAAGAGTGGTTTTTATGTTTTCTGGAGGCTTTTCTTAATTATACGGGTAAGTACATTTATGATTGATTCATGAAAAGAAAACAATTTACAAGTGGGCTTATTTTAGCTTCTTTCTTCGCCATCCCTCGGGTTTATTACTGAGTGCATTTTCTGTTCTTTTTTAACTCAGGCTATTTGTGTACTTCTGTGTAGTTTCTTATCCTTTTTAATTCACCGTTCTGTATTTTTTATTGCCACCTTTGCCTTTTTTTTTTCCTTTTCACTAGATATCTCTGTTGTCATATTTTCTTCCCTTAGCATCCTTTTCACTTCCCTTTGCATCTGTTCCCAGACTATGGGCCACGACCCCAGGAAGGCTGTGGCAGTTATGAGTGGGCTATAAAATTAAGTTGTTAATTTTAGATGTGGTGACATGTCACGGAAGTCAGAGAAATGTTGCTTTCCAGGGCACCATCCAATCGAGCTGCATATAAAGTGAAACCACCTTTCCTTCAGCAGTTTCTGAGCTAAAACCAATAACAGCATGCAGCAAAATAGCTAAAGCACAAAATATCCTTATACCAGATTCCACTGGTATGATAAACAACTTAAAACTATTTACTTTTGCTCATTTCAATGTCTATGGTTTTGCTCCCTGTCTCTCTCCCAGAGAATATTTTTGAAGATAATAACTCACAAGGTAGGTGCTAGCCAGATGAGGAAGTCGCAGAGGGAGATCACAGTTACACTGAGTTTTGTCAAGTTTGTCCCCCTAGCTGGAGGAGTTGCTGGCAGCTTTGTAGGTCTTCAGTGTTCATAAGGAAAAAAACCAAACCAAACCAAGAAAAAACCCACCAGAAGTAAGCAGGAACAATTCTATATTGACCAGTGTTACTTCTTTTCCTTAGCTGTATGCCTTTGTCCTTCTCCTCATTCATGATTTGAAGATTCATCATATCATGGCCTGAATTCCCTTAAATAGTTACCATGGCACATGGCATGGATGGGCATAGCCCTAGGGCAATGGCTGTGCCACTAGTTCATGCGGCATTTAACCTCTCTTGGGTCTGTCTGCCTTGAGCAAAGAGGCTGACTATGTCTGGAGGTGGGACATTTCGACCTAAGATGTCATAATGGTATGATAGTTTTAGATACCAGTTGGAGACTTTCCTGCTCAGCCAGACGCCCCTTGCTCCCTTTAGAACCAGTGAGGAAAAATAGGAGGTTTTGCAGGATGATTCACCTGACCCGTTTGAAATGTATTACTCCCTAGAAGTGTCTGTTCCTCTGTATGGATTATAAAGGTCTGGTAGGTGGTTTACTCAGATATAGACAACTACATTGTAAATCTCTGTATTTGGTCAGATTAATCCCTGTAATTTCAATAAAGCCTCAGAGCATCACTCATGAGAATTAACTGGCAGGACTGCATTCCCCACAGACAGCTGGGGGGAGCCCATGGCTGTGGACCAGCATGCAGTGGCATCTCTCTCTCAGTAAATTAGCTCTGCAGAAAAGTATTGTATTGATTAAAACTAGTGGTTTAAGTGAGCAGGAAGATCTGGAATAGCTGTATCAGGGTGATGTAACAATTTTATCCCAGGGATCAGCTTTAGGATCTTTCAGGAGCTACGTGATGTGACGGTGATGTCATGTAGCGAAGTGCTCCATCATGTACAGATGGTACAGGAAGCATTAGGCTGTTGGACTGCGCATTATCTTAAAAAATCTCCTCTTCCTCTCCTTCGGGGCCCATGCAGGAGGAGGAATTACATTGGCTTTGGGGAATAGTAGCCTTTGAGTTGTTTTTTTTGCTCCTGTATAGCCAATTTAAGACAATACTGACATGAAGACAGTGCTTCTTTTGCATTGAAACCAGCCAGCAGAAACAGACACTTAAGTAAATGACCATTTCACTTATTCCTGTTATAAATGGGGTAATGTTTATTAATTTTGATTTGTCATTAAGAGGCTCCACAGAGCATGGATTTTTCCATTGTCAGTACTATGCTGCCTGCAAAAATTGGCTTTTGTCTATGAAGTCTCTCAATTAAATAACAGTACTACGAATACTCTTGATCCATGTGTAGGTGAGGAGATCCATGCCATTGTGCATACAGCTTTTCTGCCTCATTACCAGCTCTTCTTGTTTAGTTAACTTGTTTGCCTGATCAGATGTTAAGTGCTAATCCCTTCTCTGTTCTGCAACGTGATGCTGTATTGGATGGCAGTGAGGCCAACAGGAGAGTTTTCCTCCTTAAATACCCTCTGTAAGAAGAGGAAGTGTGAGGATGCTGTTAACCCCTTTGAATCTTTTATGGCTGTGTACACAACAGGCTTTGTGAACTCCTGTCTATTAGATTGTAAAGTCTTTTGGCACAAGGATCATGTCTGGTAAACAGGGCACTCTTTGCTCCTGTCCCAGCAGAGATAATGTGGGTCAGGAGGGCTTTCGTTTTGGTGCAAGACTGGAACTGCTGCTCTGAGCTTAATTCCTGCTCTGCCGCAGTAACCTTATGCAAACAAACCCTACAGTGTCCAAGCCCCATCTGAAAAACTGCCATTTTAAAGACAAGGTGACAGGTGAAAAGTCTGGTATAACCCTTTTCTTATCCCTCCAGGACCTGTTTCTAATTCAGTTCATAACAGAGACTTCCTGGGAGATGTATCCCGATGGAAGACTTGAGGCATGGTGGCATCTCGAAGATCAGATGAGGGAGCATTTTATTCTAGGACTTGAAAACGTTCAGGATAGAGAAACTTGGAGAAGCTACCATGGATAAATCATGAGTGACTCTTTAGGGCAGAGCATGACTTTGAACTGTTCCCCTGCCAAAATTCCCCAGGGTGCTGTAACAGGGACCATCACTGAAACAAGATCTGAGGTGAGGATACACACAGTTATGCTTCAGGGGACTTAAGCAGGCTAAAAGAAGATTTGGGGAACGGCTATGTCCAACCTACCCCTATTTGTCCCACCATCTGCCTGTGTTGATTATTCATTGACTAACTCCCCTTTCTTCCTGAAAACCTCCATCTCAGTAGCTTCTTATGTTGCTCGGGAGATGTGACAACGCCAAGAGCACCACCCAGACTCCTGAGCAGTAGATGAGTGACCAGGAAGGTCTGGTATGGTTTAAACTAGGTCTCATGACTCCCTCTTGTCTTACTGGGTTTTAAAGAGAGTCAGTTATTACCTGTTCATACTTCTGGCATTGCTGCTGTTTCAAGTCTGTTGCTTGCTGCCAAGAGCAAAATCTTCTTCCTAGGCATCTGGAGGATTATTTGGCTTGCTTTTATCCTTATCCCAGGATGCAGATTGAAGCAGCACTGTCCTTTGGTCCTAGAAGTTGTGCGATCTTGTGTTTTACTGGAGATGGTCCTTTTTGGGTCATGGTTTGTCATAAAAGACAAGCTTCTGGACTTTCTGGAGAAGTCAAACTGAATCACAAAAGACTCTTAACTATTTCAGCCCATGGAGTATAAAATGACTTTGATATGTACCAGAAAAATTGAAATGAATGGGAATTAAAAGCTAAGATTTGCAAAAGGGGGTTGTAAGGTATTAGGAACTCAGGTAAATTTTCAAAAGATTGTGCTATTATTTTCTAGGAGGAAGGAAAAATAGGGTAGCCATGTCTTATTAAATAAAAAAAAGTAGCCTGACACTTGAAGGAGAATAAACACTTAAATCTTCTTTCAATGATTCCGCTGAAGTGAAAGTTTTAAGATGCATGTGAAAACCAAGCTGCTTCCTTTGGTGACTACGTATAAAAATAGTGGCGTGTATCTCTCTCAAGTGCCTGCTTGTACACCATAGGCTGTGGGATCCCAAATCCCAAATCCAAAACTTTTAATGAGAAAAGTTGGTGATGAATATGAGTAGATTTTCTGGATGGGTAGGAAATCAGAGATTATTCAGGGGTTGCTTTACATCCAACTCTATATCCAGCCTTTCTCCAGGTTCTTTCATTGTGTCACCTGAGTTCGGGGAAAGGCCTCTGACTTTGTTCACACTGTTGCTTTCTTACATGGTAAAAACCAATTCTTTGGGGTATGGTTTGAACGATGTCTGAACAGAGTGGGAAATAGAGATAGGAAAATTAGTGCAATCCTTTCTTTAGGTTTAATGTTTTCTGTGAAAAAATACATGAAGCCTAAGAAGGGCTCTGTCACTACCAATAGTTTTCTGTGATTTAAGGTTTCAACAATGTGTTTAGTGTTATACAGACTTAAGTGAGAAATGACTCCCAATTTATTGAGGCTTCTACCGTGGTGTCTTTATTCAGGGGCAGATTCTGTCATTCCTATAAAAAAATTATGGAGTGCTTTGATCTGCTAAGAGGTATGTTGAGATACCAGTGGGATTGTCTGAACATTGATCTTTTTACAAACTGTGTTACAAAATCAGCAGAGCCAGCAAACACTGTGGTACTTTCTGAATCACATAATTCAGGCTGTGGTATTTAAAAAAACATTGTCTGCGTTGCCTTCCGCTGGTGTGATGAGTTCAGTAGGAACACTTGGAGTACTAAAAATGTGTAACCTTTAAAATCCATAACTTTTTTAATGCTTTCAATAATTGTCAAAATCTGTATGTTTAAAATCATGACTTAAATCTTTTTTTAAAATTTATATATGACAAGTTTCAAAAAAATAATGCACTCAGACTGCTCTCCACAGCAAAAGCAGGTGAACTAGAACAGTTCTGGCAATATCCTTTCTAGGCAATTGCGTCAGGAAATGCTTGAAATCACAGACGAGAAGGCCCCGACCTCTGACTACCAGGCAGCAATCTGAATTAAATGGGTATCTGCAAATACCAGTGCATTCCTTAGTACCTGAGTGCCGATACTGGGACCACCAGCACAGAGACTGGTGTCTGCAGATGAAAGGGATGTTAAACAGTGCCCATGTGTTGTCCCAGGCCAAGCGGGAGGTGAGGCCAGACGTTACCCAAGCAGTAATCGTGGGAGGCTCCACAGCAGGGATAGCCCTTCGATACCATCCTTTCCTTCTGCATTTGTGGTGGCTGTGAGGCTACTTTGGTCCCTGGGAGGGGTAGAGTAGATCCCAAGTTCTGCCCACATCCTGCCCATCCCTGCCTGTTTGCTTGCATGACTGCAGCCTGCAAGGAAGGCATTCCTCTGCCGCAGGACAGAGCTCAGAAATAAGGTAGGTCTTAACATGGCTGAGACACGTGATAGGAAAAATACTTTTCCCTCATCTCATTCTTTTCCTAAGATGAGAAATGTGGTAATATAATCCAGTCCTAGATGAAATCTTTGCATTTCCCCTAGAAATGTTCCCTTCGCTGTAAGATTCATACTATGCAAAGGCAACACTCCTATTTATAACTTGTGGTTGAAGAGAAGTCTCTCATTAAGTAGAAGAGTCATTTTAGAGTAACTCTTGAATGGATTGAAAGGATTTGGTAATGTATTTATTTTAAGAGCTTGTTCTCTGCAGAAAGGTGGGTCAGCCTCAGCATCAGGGTCTGTGTGGCTTTATTCATACTTTTCATTTGTGTAATTCCACACAAATGGGGTTTTTTGTTGTTGGTTTTGTTTTTTCTTTTTGATTTATACTGATATATAGAGTTGCAGCTGCACATCAGGACGGGGCCAGGTTTTGAGATACCAAAGATTTGCTGCTACGAAAAAATAATTGATTCCTGCTATTTGGAATCTGATGAAACTGAAATGTGTTAAGGTTGAGTACTTAGCCTGCACTTGCATGATCTTTCCAATAACTCATGTTCCTTTGAAGTCATTTCATCGTTTTGACTTTCCTGTTCTT